GGGGGGGGGGGGGGTCGCGATAGCGAAGAGGCGGAAGCACAAAAAGGAAAAATGGCGCGTACAATATCAGGAAAAGGAATTGCAAGCTCACGAGAGATGCAACAAGCTAGACAAGAGAGACAGAATGGGAACAGATATGTTCAAGACGTTGGCGCGTCGAAGTCGTCGAGATGGGAAATTGAGGAGTCTTGTGCGATTCGGAATTGAGTGTGCGAGAAAGCCCGAGGAACACGCGGGTTAGAAGAAGAGAGAAAAAGGAAAAGGCAAGACGAAGACGGAGGCGTGAAGGGCGCTGAAGAATTCGAAGAGTAAGAGAGATCTGAAAGGGAGGAGGTGGTAGAAAGTGATAAGTTCAGAAAAGTGGTGTGAATATAAGATCGGTAGGATATTGTGGTGGTTTGGTGGTGGTGAGGATGGTAGGTCAAGAGGAAGGGAAGACCTGAGAGATCGAGAGTGCAGTTTGCCCTGCTGGGGGGTCGGACGGGACTTACCACCACCTCCCGTCTCGATACCTCCTGCAAAATCCCCGGCACGGCTACTTGGCACCTGGCACCTTTTCACCGCCTACTGTTTTCGATCCCTCTGTAAGACATCTGCTGACACCTCAGGCGAAGATTGTTTGGGCCGGACTATTGCAAACAATGGAATAAATTGGAATCTTTGATCATTGGCTTTCGAGCCACGGTCAAACTACATCGCAGAATCCTGCTCCATGTCTAATTTGAATGTTGAGAGATATCATCTTGTAGGTCGCCTTTATCAGAACTCAATTTATGCGGCCACTGATCTGAGGAAACACAAACCACCTTCCAAGCATAACATAGGTTATTCCAGGGGTCATATAGCTCGTTCAAGTGCAAAGGACCTGTAAACCGGAGAAAAAGAACAAAGAATTGTATTGGCAGCCGCAAGGGGCGTCAAACTCGCAGAAACAGAACAGCTAGCTCGAGGCAGGGGTATGAAAACAGATATTAGACAGGCTTCACATCCAGAAAATGATAGGTATCAGACGCGTTTCATAGGATTCCGTCGCAGCAACGGGGAAAACAAGAGGCTTAAACCCCAAGGGTACGGTGCGAGAATTCGATCACAAAAAACCATAACAATCATGCGGGAAATCCAGTCGACATCTTTACGAAAGTATTTGAGGTCATATCAATGCGACGCAGTCGACTCGACAACAGCTTTCTCGTTCAAGGTGGGCTCGCGCATGATGGCATCCTGGCCCGTCATTCTTCGGTCCAGAGCGCGCTCGACCTTTGCTCCCAGAGCCAATTTGCTCAGATTATCGGTCTTTTCGGGTGTGGGAACAAATCGCTGTTTCAGAAGGGGCTTGTTTTCCAAGCGTTCCAAGCCATCGCGCAGGTGATGGAAGTCGGCGAGGCGGGGATCTCCACTAGGCAGGCTCGAAAGGTCTGATGACGCAACTGAGGGGCTTCCGCTCACAGTCGAGAATCTCTTCGATGTCCGGTTCTAAGATACCGAGTCAGGATCAAAGCACCATACCAGGTGCGCGATAGACTTACGGACTGCGCCATGATAGGCCTTTCGGAGTCGACCGAGGTGTGTCTGGCCATTGTTGGTCTAGGCAATGTTGAGCGCAAATATGTTGTTGTGACCTAGAAGAGGTTGAGCGAACTTGGTCAGCGACTGACGGGCCCGTTGCGGTGATAAATATGGCAATCAGATGCAAAAAATGAAGATGCTGGCGTGGCCAAGTGAGGGCCTTCCTTCCAAAAGGAGGATATGGTAAGATTGGGAAGATTTCTAGCTCCAGTGGCCACGCCAAAGAAAGCCTGAGAAGATCATGTAAGGTTTGCGCAAATGTGCATACCTACAAAGGAGTCACAGTCTGATAGGGGCGAAATGATCGGAGTGTCTGTTTTTGTTTCTTGAAACAGGGAGACGATGAGATAAGGTAAGAAGAGAGATGTTATACAATGTGAAAGAGGACACGGGGTGGAGAAAGATTCGATTAAAAAGGAAGGAAAGGAAGACAAGAGGCAGAGAGAAATAGCGGAGGGAGAGGATGTGGTGAGCTGGGAGATTAAGTGCAGGTGTGACATGCGTTGAGCGTTCAGGAGAGACTGACGGACGGGCTGGGCTTTTGGGGGAGGGGGGCGAAAGGGACGACGGCGGCAGATGGATTGTAGTGGGTCGGAAAAGCCCCGGGTAACTTGTAATGAGAGCCATAGCCAAAAATCTATTGGTTTTTCTTTTTAAAACCCAAGTTTCCCCTTAGGCATGCAATATTTATTTAGTGTAGTGGGAGAATAAATTCGAAAAGAATTATATAAACATTTAAGAAGGAAGATATTGAAGATCAAAGGAACGGGGACACTCTCCCTCTCCTCTTCTATCGTTCTCTCTTTGGCATTGATTGTTGGTTAACTCACAATGCATGCTCCCTTGGTTACGAGAATCCACCGCCATGCCCATTCCTGGGTTCTCGGTTTCTAGCCCAGTGGCTTGTAGTCCGTACGATCTATCCTGGTGTCTGGACTGTAGCCGAGAGAGAACCCGGAACCAGGCCTTGTCAAACTTCCCGAGGTGGTCAGTCCTCCCGGCAAGAAGAAATTGTCAAAAAAAAAAAAGAAGGTTGAGACACCGGACAGATAGCAGCTTGCTCAAACAGAGGTTCTCGGAGAGGGGAGAGAGGACCCGCTGCTGAACACCATGAACCTAGTTGAACACATACCGGGACGTACTATGGGTACTGTACTGTACATAGTACCAGGTCTGAGCGGAATGTCATATCACCCGGCTTTTAACCTTAAAGTAGGGACGATGCACGATGATCCGCTTGGCCTGAGGTGACTAAGATGAGATCGTAAACTAGTTAGCTAAAACTGTCTTTGGTGGGTGGAAAAAGTAGAGAGATATAAAGGTTGAATCAACGTGTTCCTGGCCGGTCATTTGACGAAATCGACGGGATGCTATGGTAAGTTTGTTCTTTGTCCTGTGGTGTTGCTTATCGAGATCCGACACAACTTTCGAGTGAGAACAGGAGCAGCGATAGAGGATAGCGGACAGAGTAGATCAGTAGAGAGAGAAGGAATCAGGGCATAAGGTAAGGCCGGCCCTCCATCAGCACCGTAATAGATTAAAGCCAGAGCCAGCCCATCGCCTGCCACGTGCCAGGGATTTGCCGTACCGCGGCCACCGACCGCCACGCGAGCTGAGACTCGCAAAGCTGGACAAAGCAAGGGAAAAACTTCCTCTGCCAGCTGGGGGGAGGGTTTCTGCAGAGAATCGCAGCTGAGCTCAATCGGTATCACCCGAAAGAGAAGGATAGTCCATTTGACCCTCTTCAGCTGTCAATTCACTGGATGCCTCGTCAATTGTCGATTATAGGACCCTGGTAACCAGTTGAATTGCAATATCTTCGAGTATCCTCCGCTCTACCTTGCGAATTGCGGGGAGAAGCCCGTAGTGAGGTAGGTAGTACGAAGTATAAGTACTTATATCAAGGTCGATCATTTAATGCTTGACGTGGCGCTTGTGTCATAGACTTGATTAGCATTCGTAACACACACCAAATACTTCTGCAATCATGGTTCCTTTCCACAAATACCCGACCTAGGTACTGTACAAACCTGCAGAGGTACGGTAGATCACATGCAAACTGATCTTCTCAATTCAATGAACACTTTGATGTCGGCGTGATTTCTCTCTCTCCCGGATTCCGCCGAACAAAGAAGAGGGCGGCTATCGGGGCGGTGTGTGTGTCCCGCACGGCAACCACTTGAGAAAAAAAACAGTAGCACGGCACGTCATTTCAGTCGCGGTTGAAACGCTATCCAAGAGATATATATCGGATTTTCTTTTTTGAACTTTTTTTTTGCTTATATCATCTCCATCTCCTATTGTGTACCGTACCGTGGGCTATCACCGTAAATTCCGAGCTGAGAGGACGTCCGCAAATACTGGTAAAAACAAAAAGAAAAGAAAAGAATGCCGAAACCAAAGACCTTCCTGAAGGAGGCAAAGACCAAGAAAAAGGCCGCGCAGCGAGTATGGATCCAATACCTGCTTGTGTCTTTCAACGCTAATTGTACATCTCAGGCACCCGAAACTGCCGATGAATACCTTGCGCGTATGTCACAAGCCCGTTCCATAGATATCGAGACGCAGTTTGAGTACTACAAGACTAACCGAAGCCCGGCCTATCAGTCGGTGTGGAACAGGAGGAAGCTGGAGAAAAATGGCGGGCTGGAGATGCTGCGAAATCGCTGCGTTTCTTTATGCGCGCCATCAACACTTATGACGAGGGTCTGAGTAAGCACCCCAGTGCGTTTGACCTGGCCTACAACAAGTGAGTCGTAGATGCTCCTCGAACTACCTTGCTTCCGAGTAATGTGACTATCTCTATGAATACGTGCCTAACATATGGTAGAGCTCGAGTTCAATACGAAATCACCCAGCATCCAAGATTAAAAGCTCAGCTGTCTGCCCCGTTGAGTGATGTGCTGCAGGAGGCTCTAGAGTCCCATAGAGTCGCGCTCGCTCTGGAGCAAGATAATGCAGACGCACTCTTCAACACAGGCCAGGTGCTGACGAGCATCGCCGAGATCTTGACTGATTCCAAACACCCCTCCGATGAGTGCCTCTCTCAGGCGGTGAAACTTCTGCAGGAAGCGATCGAGCTCTTTCAGCGCTGCCTGCTTCTACAGGAACTGAAGTACACCGAGATGCAGGAACAGATTAAACAGATGGAGTTGGGGGACGCCGCACACCCCGAGGTAGAGATGCAGAATACGCAGAAGGATGCCGAGCAATCAACAGAGGCAAATTCAGCGGACGAGCAAGAGCAATGGGCAGCGATTGTGGAGCCGGTGACCAAGGATACACTGGTCGACACGGCGATAGCGCAGCTTGAGACATTGACAACTCTCTGCAACCTGCTCACATTTAATCCCGGTGTTGGCCTGGGATGGGTGGAGGATTATTCTTCCGACCTGCTGCAGAAGCGCATTTCCACCTATGTAGAAGGTTCGAACAGACAATATGAGGCAGCATTAGCCCGGGCCAAATTCACCTGCGGTCTAAATGAATTGCTCTACCGAAGCGGTCAGATAGAGGCTGAAACATATTCCAACGAGGTTTCACAAGCTTTCGGCACAGGCTTGGATCTCTCCGCCGATCCAGGCGGTCTCTGCAGCAAAGCGGATGCGCTATCATCGTTCAATACTGCGCTCATGGATCTTCCCCCTTACGAGCCGGAAGCGTTTGCGAAAGCGTTGTCCTTGCGGTGGCAGGCACTGTCTGCGGCGCTGGACGCTCTGACTAAAGCATCCAAGCATCCCGAGGCAGATGACTTGCCCAAGATTCACTTGGCTAGGGGAGACGTGGAAATCGCTAGATGGAGGCTTGGCATGCCTCCCTGGAATCATGCCATGGCACAGCAATATGCAGCCACGCTGCTACGCAATGCGCAGACCTACTACCGAGGAGCTGCGGCGTTGGCCAGGAGAGACGGAGCCGCAGAAGAATTGCGGGACGGGTCGTGTAAAGAAGCCATTGCAGCGGCTCTAGAAGGACAGAAGGAGAAATTGGACCAGCTTAGGAGAGCCGCGCCGAAGGAACTGATGATGGTAGCCGAGGACGTCGTCGATGACGGCTGGATGAGTCCAGGAGACATGGAGGGGCTGCTGTCATAGTCGTAGCGCAATGACAACTAGGTTCAGGCCGAAATTGATAGCCTACCGCGTCCAAAACCCACTGATTGCCTTGCGTACGATGTAACGTGGTGCTTGGAAGTCTTATTCATATCTCAGACCGAGATCTAACTTCTTCATCCATCTCAGCAGCCTCCTGGCGGAGATTATTGTCACTGCTGAACTGCGTCGCAGCGGCAGCAGCGCCCTCCAGGTCCGCAACAATAGACTCCAGATTCAGCAACAATCCTTGAATCTCCTCCCTTTGCGCCTGCACCCGCTGCGCCAGCTCCGTATTCTCATTCTGAACCGACTCGATGTTGGTCTTCAGATCCGACTGCGTTTCTTGCATGTAGGGTAGAAGATGTGCTCGAAAAAGATCGTCCGGCGGCAACGTATGTGGACTGTCGAAAGAGTCAGTCCGTCTGTTCTTCAACCCAATGTTACCCGGAGACCAAAAGAAAAGAACATACGCAACACTCTCCCCCCCGACCCCATGGTCCTTCCTATACCTCGCCTCCCCAACCAACCGATCCAGCTCATTCAATTGCCGGATCGCATCTCTCTCCGTCAGAATGTCCTCAAATTCGGCTCGGGCGCTCTCCTCCAATTTGGCATTCAGCTGTCGCCAAACGGATTCCAAGCTGGCGGGGACATGTTTGGCGGGAGTGGGAAAACAGCTTGAGAAGTTTGCATATGAGTTCGCGCGCAGGGTGCGCGCCAGTGCCTTGTCGAAGATTTCCTGCAATTTGGCGACGCGTGGGCCGGGGGTCAATGCGACAGGGGCAGGAGGGGGAGGAGAGGGGGAGGCGGCGGGCCGGGTGGTGCTGTTGGTGGGATTGGTATATGCGGCCATCGTGGGTGGACTGTGTTCAATGGAGTAATAAGAAGCTCTATCCACGTATTTAGTTCATCTGTGGGAGCCGTTTCTCTTCCTCTGGGGGTCAGCGCGTTAGGCAGATAGTTTCGATCGTGGTTGATGAAGCTGGGGAGTGGAGATAGTTTTGGGAAATGCGATGCACGGCGAAAGACGCGCCATGAAACGCGTCTGTCACGTGACTCTATACTATAGTGAGCAAGAAATATACTCTTCAAAGAACGCTGTATCATTGATGTGGACATGGTTCGGCCCCATGAAACATTATACTTTGTAGAAGCGAGGACAAAATATTGTATTTATACAAGCACGAAAGATAAGTTTGGAACGTCGACCTTTTGAGGGCACACAGTGATCCTCGCGTGCGATATTGACATCTTAGACCTGAGAAGACTCCGCTATTTCCAGAGTGCTCTCGCTCTGGATGCTTTCACCTCCGACCCAATTGACTCTGATCTTGCACGCCAGCCTTCCGATCTAGAAACAGGAGTTCCTTGAATGCTGGCCATGAGATTGACACATAGATGATACTATTCCAGAATCCTTGCAGCGGAAGTACCAGACCTGAAATATAATTCAGCGCAAAGTTAGACTTGTGCGGGAGAACTAGTGAGTAAACTCGATTGGCAGTGGACGGCACCTGTGCGTTTGGAACCACATTGTTAATCACCGACTAGGGCCCAGGAACAAGATTGACTCACCCATGTGATCAATAGCGCAATGAAGAAAAGGATTGCATATTTGCTGTAGGCCCATGCTGCCGAGTTTGTCTCTATCATTGTCGCTCGGCGTTGAATACTAGTGCTGAACTGGTCATTCCGGGAAGATTGCTCTGCAGTACCCTCGCTACTTTTGGGCTCACTGCCGCCCTGAATTGTAACTGAATATGGACAGTAGAATGTGTGGAGGCTCTTGGTTGATATTGGACCACTATCTTCCCCGAACGGTACTTGCAGAGCATGCACAACTTCCCGAGTAATGGAAAACTCAGTGACTTTGGAAAATTGAATGTTCTGCATGTTTTCAGTAGTACTGGTAGAGTCGGAGTTGCCGGCCTGATTCAACTGCTGCCGCTTCTTATATATGACACTGCCTGTGCGCACATAGATAAAGATGGTCAAGCACATGATTAACCACACTGGCCCATAGAAGAGGCCAATGCGTAGAAAGTCCCAAGGTGTCGAGACCCAGCACCAAAGCTGTATGACCGCATAAGTATGAAAGGCTGGGATGATAGTCTCCGGAGATCATGGGTGCACATACCGTTGCGGAGCCGTAGATCTTGCCCCGGGTCTCGGTCTCGATGAAGAAATAAACAAATGCAGGAATGAACGGCAATCCATAACAGGCCAGTAGATATTTCAGCTCCAACTGCCGCAGCCGCTTAGAGTCGTATTTATGAAAGAAAGTGAGATACACATTGCAGGCCATGGCGAAAGTCCACAAGGCATCAGCGGGCATGAACCTAATAGCTCGATTCAGTGACGCTCCTCGTTTGAGATACACAAGTGACAAACCACTGGATAAGGAAGCCTTGAAACTGGCAGACGCTGCTTCCGGTGCCCAGCCGAACTCCTGACTGAGACATCAGGGTTGCGACATTGGCCATCATGTTGCCCCATGATGCGTAGAATACTAGTCGGTTGATGGGCTTGCGAAAGGACGAGGAGGAAAGGAAAGATATAACAATAATAAAGGTTCCAAAGAGAGAAACAGCCGAGCAGACTCGCTCCGTGACCGAGATAGCTTTGAAGTGCGATTCCGATAGCGGCATTGTCTCACGACCAAGCGTGGCCGATGCAGATAGCCACACAACTAGTCTTCAACTCTTGAGCTCTGCAGAGGCTAAGCTTAGATATATCAGATATTTTACACCCGCAGCTCGTCATTGACAAAACCTTGAAATCCACCGAGGTACTAGCAAGCCCCTATAGTCTGGGCATTGTCAGTAGTCTCGGGGGTCAAGTCTCGAAAGTAATTTTTCCAACGTCTGTTCGACACAAACGAACATTGCCATTGCGAGCGAGCGAGTCAGAAAGGGTCACGGTGGTAAATAGTCCCACACTGCAGGATGCTCTCAAAGACAAAGAAAGCCGAGAGAGCCACTTCAATATCAATTTTCTCGTTGCTATCGACAATATACTGATGTAAGAAATCGAGTGGTTCAAGGATGGGAGGCAGAGCCCCTGTCCAAAGGTGAGAATGGTCTGGGTAGACCAGAAATTCGTCCCCAGATTGTATGCCAACAGATTGACTGTGACGATCTTGTCCGCATCAAACACTCGAATCGCCCCTCTGTCTCCATGTGGCATTTCCATCAACGGCTTCATGCGACGAACCTTACAGGAAGGAATGGTGTCAAAACCGCAGGCAAACGGTGAGTGAACCTTCCCCGCTCATTTGAAAAGGGGGAAATTAAATGATTGGCACAGGCATCAACTCCGACCAAGCCGCTGGTAACGGGCTCCAGGCCAGTCAGCATGAGATCAAATCTAGTTGACTTACTCCGAGCACTTGCAGAATGCGTCGCTGGACACCTAAGGCGCTTGAATGGTTTGAGAGATGACCGCGAATCTTGTACGAGTAGCGTTGAGTTCCATCATGCACCCTTGCAATCGACAACCGACCAAGCTATTTGCAATGGATTATCCAACTCATTGGAGGAAATTTCAGCCGGCTTGCGCAGGGAATGGCGGTTGGAGATGATTGATGTAACAATCTGGAACAAAGAATAGCAGCGAAGCCCTAAGCATCCGATGTCGATCATCAGCCAACATTAATCCTTAGAAGTCAGTGCCACGCTGGCAGCCCAGAGAGGCAAAGAGAAACTCGCGGGTGTTTTTCGCTTTCCGAATCCTCAGCAAATCTCTGCCGAGCGAGGAGGCTATTGTTTGGAGTGCGATAGAGTTTTAGCGGAAGCAAGGAAGAAAAAGCGAGACAGCCAGGTCTTGAATCCAGATGTTCCCGAATATGTCCCGACAGACTTACAGGTCTCATGCCATTTGACTCCAATCAACCAAAGTAGCAAGTGGCCTGATGAGCTCAGATGCATTGGAGCATGCATATCACTATAGCCCTTGCTTGGATGAGCATCGTTTTCTTCCCCCTATAGCCCCCGGATCTGGAACCGGGTGATCTGCATCGCAGGGAACAGGGCTGGTACGACCACAAGCTCAATCAGGATCCTGGCTTACAACAAGGTAGCGAATTGGCGAGCTCCTGAACGAGAATCAAGATGCAGATAGTATTCACGTAATATAATGATGATACTAATCTCGCATACGCTAATATAAGCTGGAACAAAGAGTGAAAATCGCGAAGACCAAGGAGAAACAGGAGAACATCACATCGAAATCTTCTTCAAAGTATAACGCCACGCTCTTCGTTCTAGAACCAACCCAATTGCTTCATCATGTCCTTCATCTGATAAGAAAAAAAAATAACTCAATAAGGTGCCAAGATAAGATATCACAGCAGAGCACAAAATCAATACACGAAATACCGAAGTCGAAGACTGATCAGTATTCGACCCTCGGGGGTTAATATGCTTGCTGAGGAGGAACCATGCCTCCGTATGCTCCGGACATTTGCTGTTGCTGCTGCTGCTGCTGTTGCTGCAGCTGCGCTTGCAACTGAGGAAGATCATGGAACCAAGGATGCTGCAGGGCGTCGTGGGCACTGATACGCATCTCGGGCCGCAGCTGGAGCATGCGGTTCAACAGATCTAGCCCAAGAGGATCGATCTGAGGGAGGATTAGGCCTAGATCCTGGGTTGCATACACGTGGAAATTCGACTTGTACTCCGGCAATTGAGAGATGCCGGGCCATGAGCGTTCCGAAGGTGTGCCCATGAGACGGAAAATCTTCTGCAGTTGATCTTCGTTCGTGGTGCCAGGGAACAGGGGGCGACCAGTGTACAGTTCTGCCATGATACAACCGGCCGACCAGATGTCAATGCTTGTGTTGTATGTCCTGCTGCCCAACAGGACGTCCGGAGCACGATACCACAGCGTCACAACCTCGTTGGAGAAAGTGTTGACAGGAATGCCAAAGGCACGGGCCAGGCCAAAGTCACCGAGCTTCAGCTGTCCTTTCTTGTTAATAAGAAGGTTCTGGGGTTTCAGATCTCGATGAAGGACCCGATTCTCATGACAGAAAGCAATGCCTTTCAAAAGCTGATGCATGAAGGATTTAATGGTCGCCTGATCCAGTTGACCCCGATCACCACGGGTATCCATGTACTTTTTGAGGTCCTTGTCCATGTACTCAAAGACAAGCATCAGCTTGTTTTCGGTGTGGATAACATCATACAGCGAGACAATGCTTTCATGCTTGAGCTCTTTCATTAGAGAGATCTCTCGAATCGCGGTCGATGGCGTGCCTTCCTCGGAGTCCAAATGGATCTCCTTTAGTGCAACCAGCTCACCAGTTTGGCGGTTTCGTCCTTTGAAAACCTTGAATCGCCACCGTATGAGTATTTGCATGGACTTATAGAAGAGGCCAACCCAAGGTGCGACAGTGGAGGCAGGAGGTTATGGGGTTACGTACGGTAGCATAAGTACCCTCTCCGAGCTAGAATTCACCGGACAAGAGTCAGCAAAAATATCGAGAGTTGCTAATCTTATAAGGTCGAGGCAGGCGAACCTTTTCCAGCTGCTGGAAAGAGCTAGGCTGTTGCTTATCCATTGTTGGCGACGCGGTGGTGAGGTTCCCCTGTGCGACCGAGGGTTGGGGTTGGATCGAAGGCGATTTGGGTCGCTGCGAATTAGTGAGGAATGACTTGGGCGAAACGAGGGTCGAGATAAGATCGAGATAGGCGGTGGTGGAGCGCTGCAAGGAGGAAGTAGAAAGTCGTGAACTGTTGCGACTGTCCATGACCGGACTGATTGAAGGCGGGCGGGATTATTAGTAGCAGAGGTCGTACTGAGTAATAAATGAGCCCCGCGCACCGTCCGTCCGTTCGGAGATGGGCAGGCAAACAACCCGCTCAACTTGCCGCCCGGCCATCTTTCCTTGCCTGACTGACTACTGCGACACCAACGCCGGCGTCTATTCCCAAGCATGGCCAGTCATCTTCTGCATGTGGCCATTATGACACGAAACACTCACTACTCCTTCAACATAGTTATGTATGCAGTACACTAGACTACATGCCCGGCGTCAATCGACCCTTGTTGTTGATGTTGAAAGCTTGTATATGTGTCTGTGTCTGTGTGTCTGTCTGTCTGTCTGTCCACTTCGTTCACTTAGACTATTATATACAAAGCTTTTAATGATCAAGGGGAGGAAGTTCAGCAGCTACCGGGCCTAGGACAGACTCTGAGGGTAGACTGCACCGAATGTACCGCGACACAGTGTCACGATCCCCTCCAAAGAGAATCGCTTCGTTCCTGACGCCTCCAAGATTGATAATTCCAATGGGCATGCCTCGTTTATAAGCCCGTTCCACTAACCGCCAAGCTGAATACGTGGCAAGACTGCTTCCCAAGACCAGCAGTCGCCCCGCATCATCGATCGCCTCTTCGGCCGCCTCTTTGACTGCAGGATCAATGTTCTCCCCAAACATGATGACCCCGGGTTTGAGAATACCGGCAGTGGATGAGGGAAGCCAGGCTCCATCCTGTTCCACATCCACCCTTGCCAGGTTGCCGTCCTGACCACGGGGCGGCTTCTCTAAGCAGGTAGGGCAAGAAGGATATCTGAATGTCGAGTAGGGCGCCTCTGGTAAATCGACATCACCATCGGGATTGATTTTCAGTCCCCTCCGCCGTTGTTCTTCACGGTTATTGGTATCCAAAGCGCCAATCTCAGTCATCTTCGCCAGAAACTCAGCCCAAGCTGGATTAAGTCTTTCGAGCGATTTCTGGAAATCTTCCCGAGGGACCTGGTTCCGACAGTTGACGCAAACCACTGATCTTAAATAGCCATGCAGCTCTAGAGTGGGCAAATCGGGATGCGCGAGGGAATGGAAGGAGTCCACGTTTTGCGTGACCACCGAACTGATATAGCCCTTGGCGCCGAGATCACGGATGGACAAGTGTGTCGAATTCGGCTTTGACTTCAAGAGGCCCGGCCATCCGATGAAGCTGCGAGCCCAGTATCGTTTGCGGGACTCATGGCGTGTGAGGAATTCGTGATGATAGACCGGTCTATATGCTTTATTGGTTCTATATGTGCCATTATCGCCGCGGTAGTCCGATAAGCCCGATGCGACCGATATGCCCGCACCCGTCAAGAGCACGGTCTGCGCATGTCGGCCCACATCCACGCCGCGCAGGTAGGGGGACGGTGGTGCTGTTAGAAACGATCGAAGGGCGTCAATGGCGCCCGCGACTGTGCGCGCTGACGAAGGAACAATGATAGGAGGAGGCAGGGGCCCGGTAAAGGGGATCCGGATCGAAGGTGTAGTCATTGATCGAAAAGCCTCATATTGCAGTGGGATAAGGCGAGGAAAGCTGGAATCTCCAGTTGTTGGGTTGGACCGGTTTAGAGATCGAGTGTCCAGCCATGACTAAGCATATTACATCACCCGGGAGTCACCGTTTCACTTCTCGGAATTGTTGGGAACATTGCAGGGAAACTTTTCAGGCTGAAGAAAAGAAGATCTACCCTGGATGCTCAATGGATGGCCGGACTAGTACGACTGGTGCTGATGTGAGGGAATTCAACACATGTTGAAAGCTGCAGAAGAAGAAGAAGAAGAAGTTGTGACGATGAGCAGTAGAATAAAGGGTCTAGATTTTACCCCGGATTGTCACACGTGACCGCCTTCCCTTCGGCAGAGTCTGCGGAACGTCATTTCTCGCTCTCTTCCCTTATTGTCTATGGTCCCTTCTTGTCTCTGCCTTCTTTTGCTTCCCACTGCCATTCCGAGTAGCTTCACGGTCGGAATTCTTCTCTACCACAACACTTCCGAAATTTTGGGAGCTCATTGGGAGCAGATTCCCGTCTCGTGCTTTCTGTCATTTGCAGCAGCATCAACGACCACCGGTCATGTTTCCCGCACAGACCGGCAACATCGATATAGAAGCCCTCAGTGGAATATGTGGGTATGTGACCGCACGACCTAGCTTGTTTCGAGTGTCATCCTCCCCTATGCTAATGCCAGCATTAGGTCGATCTCAATTGCCTGCTGGGTAGTTGTTTTCTCTCCCCAGATCATTGAGAACTTTCGCCGTGGATCCGCCGATGGACTGTCACTTCTCTTCCTTATCGTTTGGCTCGCCGGCGATGTCTTTAACATCCTCGGCGCCGTTCTACAGGGTGTCCTGCCGACCATGATCATCCTTGCGGTCTACTACACGCTTGCCGATGTCGTACTTCTCGCCCAATGCTTCTATTACCGCGGATTTACCCTTCGGGACGAGCCATGCCCTCAGCAGCGTGCCTCGGCAGTCTCCTCACTGCACGACGAGGAAGAAGCCTTCGAGGAAGATACGGAGGTTCCCTCGCCCGTGATGGCCCGCAAGCCCACAGAGCAGACCGCTCTCCTGGCCTCCAAGCAGCGCGGTGGGCCGTCCTACCACCAGGCCAGCAACAACACCAGCTCCGCCTCCTCGATAACCATCACCCCGCATCACCACCATGATCAACGGCCGCCGCCTCCGCTCACAGCCCGCCGTCACTCCTCATCCGCATCCTTTCTCCACCCCTCCGTCGACGGCACCCACCTATCCCCCGTGACCCCTTTCATCGAGCCCGTCAAAGAAACTCGTCCGTCCCGCACCCTCACCACCTTCCAAACCACTCTTTTTCACGCCTCGGCCATCACTCTCGTCTGCGCCGCCGGCGTCCTAGGATGGTACATCAGCCAACGCACCGCTCAGCCCTCGAACGGCCACCACGACACGTCTTCCGCTCCCGACGCATCGCTCGAGATGGATACCCTGGGCCAAGTCTTCGGCTACCTCTGCGCCGCGTTGTACCTTGGGTCGCGCCTCCCGCAGATCCTCCTCAACTACCGCCGCAAATCCACCGACGGCGTCTCCCTCTTGTTCTTCCTGTTCGCCTGCATCGGCAACCTGACCTACGTGCTGTCGATCCTGGCGTATTCCCCCGTCTGCGCAGATGCCAGTGCGAGCTCGAACTCCCTGAGCCCAGCCCACCACCACCACCACCACAGACGATGTTCCCCTGCCGAGCTCTCCAGCCAGTACGGCCGATACATCCTGGTCAACCTGTCCTGGTTGATCGGCAGCTTCGGCACGCTGTTGCTGGATATGTGCATTTTCGTGCAGTTTTTCCTGTACCAGGAGAATAGCAGCGAGGAAATCTCAACTGATGCCAGTGTAGACGAGGACGAGACTGTTCGTGGATGACGACGACGATGATGATGACCATGATGGTGTTCTACTTTTGGGGATTGGGACTTGGGGAGTCAATCCTACAGGATTTACGGAGTTGATTGGTTTATCAGATAAAAAAGTTTCGCTTTTCTTGCTCTTTCCCTTTGTTGGGTTATCTTCTTGGTATATTTTTGGACAGGGTATACCCTTGGTCAACTGGTGTGGTGATTGTACAGTTTCCCTGTTGTCTCAGCCGGCGATCATCCTCATTTCTTCACTGTATCTATACACGTATACGCTTGTCAGAGCCTAGAGCAGAAGAGAATGAATAGATATAGTAGCTTTTTCAAACTTATCTCGAATTCGGAGAGGTCAATGGTACAAGTGAGGATTAACAATCAAAATATTCCATTTCTACATGGTAATTCATGCCAGGACTCGACAACCGCCAGCTCTCTCCACACACAGCCCAAATCCCCCCATGAATCACAAAAGATATAAGTCGCATATCCCTAGAACACCCGCTGATAACCCCGAAGCTCAATTTTGTATCTCAAAACATCCCAGAAACTCCCGGAACCATGTGCCACAATGGTAGCTAGGTAGGAAAGGGCCGCGCGCGGAATCGACTCACTCACTGGGCGGCCGCACCTTCACCGGGCCCTGGCTGACCTCGTCCCAGTTCGTACTTAGCGAGGTGCCCTGGCTCTCCACGTAACTCTTCATCATCGCGCGCCGGGTGTCCGGGTCAGCGTTGGCGTACAGCTTCTTGAAGAACGAGTCAACGGGGTCGCCGCTGCCGTCGTCGGAGTCATTGCCTTCGTCGTCCTCCTCCTCGTCGGTGGACTTGGACTTCTTGGGGTTCTTGGCGGTCAGACTCGAGGCGAGCTTGTCCCAGTCTTTGGCGCCGTGCCGGGAGGAGGTTGGGTATGCCGGGCCAGATGAAGTGGAGGGAGGACCGCTAGCAGCAGCGGCGGCGGCGGCGGCGGCGGCGGCGGCGGAGGATGAGGATGATGAGAGAGGAGTGGTTGCGGCCTGGCGGTCTGCGAGCTTGATAGTCGACGAGGTGGACTCGAGAGCACTCCATTTTTGACCGGGGGTTTGCTTGCGGAGGACAAGTTCGATCTTGGTGGACATGACGGTCGCCTTGGAGGTGGAAGGGTCGATCAGGGCGAAGAGCGGGTCGAGGGTGAAGTCGTACGCAGCACCCGAGGGGAGGGGGAATTGCAAAGAGGCCTGGTCGTGGAGTTAGCGGCCATCCTTGCTATCTTGACAAAAGAAAGAACATACTGAGTCACTCTTGAGATCCACGTCAAGTTTGTCCTTCGGGACACCCTTGATATAGAGCGTCACGACGACCTGGTCTTGCGATTGATACCATTCATGGCGGACCTTCTCAGGAGCAGCGGCCGTCGTCGTCGTCGTCGTTGTTGCCGCTGCAGGAACAGCAGCAGACGCCTTCGCAGCAGTCTGTCCAACACCCGCATCGTTCTGCCTTTTCTTCTCCTCCTCCTTATCACCACCATCACCACTCATCCCACCACCCAAACCCTGCCCCGCCTTCAATCTCTCCAACTGGGCCCTCAACTCACCCTCTCCAGGCACCTGAACCCCCTCCGGCACCTCCAAAACATTAACCCCAACGACCGCCTCATCAACACAGCCCTCCTTCCGCAATTTCTCCAACCGGCCCCTAACCTTAGCCAACCAAATGGGCAACTCCGTCTCGAAGCCATTCTTCGATCCCCCTGCCCCGGCGCCGGCCCCCGCCGACTTATTATTATTATTATTCATCCCCGCCATTGCACTCATCACCTTCTCCTCCGTGCCTTTCTCTTTACCGACCCCACCACCACCACCACCATTAACCTTCGCATCGACCAACCCAAACACGAACCCGGCATCCCCGACGCGACCGAGCTGGAACAGTGCCACCGCGCGCCGCATCTGCGCTGCGAGGATCAATTCCCGCCGGCCGCGCTCGCGGGCCAGGGTGACCGCGATCTCGGCATCGCGCAGCGCCGCGAGCGAGTCGGCGGGTTTGAGGCGTGAGAAGGCGGTCGCACGTTTGGTATAGTAGGCTGGAGAGCGCGGGGAGGTGAGGAGCGCGGTGGTGTAGTGGATGAGGGCGCGCGCGTAGTCGGACTGCGTGCAGGCGGCGTCGCCTTGGGATGCGGCGTCCATTTTCTTTGTGTCGGTGAAAGGTAATATATTTTAATTATCTGTTCTCCAAAGAAAACTTTTTGAGAAGCAATATAGTCTGCAAAGAGGCGAGGTGTGTGGTTTCTGTATTCTTCAAGAGATGAAGTGTTGGGTTGTTTGACGGTGTTGTGCTATGTTGGTGAAGCTGTCGATCGTTGGTGGGGCAGATGATGGAGCTTCGTGTTCGTGTGTAGGCTGTAGGAAGGACCGGTCAATGGAACGTGGAGAGAGTAAGGTAAGAAGAGTCTCGTGAAATCTTGTCGGTAAGATCGAGTAGATAGATTAGAAGGTCGAGTGGAGCAGAAGACAGGAAGAAAGCAAAGAAAGTTGGAGAAGGTCCGTTTGTTTTCTCTGGCCGGAGACTGCGGGGAAACACATATGCCACGTGATCCATACTCATCTCTCCTCTCGGAGAACCTTACAAGCAGGTAATTTTCCGAAACATGAGTTGGTGGTTATTATTCTATTACATGATACAGTAGTACATCTAAGCAGATACAGTGCTCTCTCCTCGTACTTCACAAGGCATCATTGCCGAACTTGCGTGCATACAGTCCCAGAGCCCGGATCGGCCAGTACAACTTGTAGTTAGGATACGAGATCATACTGACATTCACATTAGCAGACGACCCCATAAATTCTCGGAAACACACTTACCAGGACTGATTGAACACTCCCTCGATAGACTCCTGCAGCCACTCTCCGTTGGCCTGCTGGCGCGACATCAGCAGCTTCATCGCCCGCTCCAGGGGTTCCTTGTGAGGATAGCCCGCCTCCATCAAGGCCAGACAGGCCCACGCCGTTTGTACTACCTGTGACTTCTCATGTTGCACGTACACATGCTTCTCACTGCTGAGGTACGACTCACCCCAGCCGCCGTCTTCCTTTTGCTTGGCCACCAAGAACTCACAGCCACGGCGGGAGTCCGCGCTGGTCTCGTACGTCTCGCCAATGCTCGCCAAACTCTCGAGCGCAAACATGGCAGCATACGTGAAACAGATCCCCCACGATCCATACCAGCTGCCGTCAGCCCGTTGCACCCGCTTGATATACTTGACTGCGCGCTCTTTGGCGGCTCGGATCTCATCCGCGCGGTAATCGGGGAAGTACTTGCTGAAGAGGGAGAGTGCAGTCACGGACGCTGTCGTGCATTCGGGGTAGTCGTAACCAATCATGATACCACCGAATACCTCCGCCGCATTGAGCCATTCGAGCTTAGTTGACCCACGCGTGGTCTCATACTCGGTGAATCCTCCGGAAGGGTTCTGCATCAGCAGCAAACAGTCGACGCTGTCTTTAAGTCGCTCTGTGGAGATCAACTTTGGAAAGTCGTGCATCTCCTGTAGCTGGATCGTAGCCCGCAAGCCCTCGGCAGTGCAGTCGCTAACTGTGTATCCCTGCGTCTTGGTGCTGAACGGCCACGCACCCTTGCGGTGTTGGCGATAGCACTTGCCTTGATCCGGCACATTCTCGCGCATCTGGTGGTCTTCCACGAACTCCAGCGCTCTGGTCAACATTGGCCGCCATTTCGGGTCGTCTGCAAAACCAGCCACGACAACAGCCTGAATAATGAAGGTGGTGTCCCACACCTGCACTCCGTTGGTGCCGTTCATCAACATGCCCTCATTCTTCATCCACATGTAGTCATTTAAGCGCTCACGATGTCGGCGAACCGAGTAGCTATCGGGCCCGTCATGTTCGTAGCACGCAATCATGTTCATGGGATTGCTCACCGGCCCCAAGCCAGCATAGTCCGTGTTCTCATCTTCCATTCGGATAAGCTCCCAAGTCCACTCTTCCGCACGCCGGGTCACCGCCGACACACGGCAGTAGGGGTTCCAAAAGTTGACAAGCACCGAGTTCAACGTGTTCAGCAGCCACGTCTTGGGGTAGTAATTGTCCGCGGCGTGAATCGAATTGCGGTGACTGGCAAAATCAATCGAATCATACGGTTGCGTGTACAACTCTTGCCTGAGCTGTTTAGTAAGAGGATCCAGCGGATGAGCGAACTTCCTAGACCACAGATAAGACATGGGCAAGAAGACCTGTCGAATGTGAATCCACCACCGCCAAGGAGCGAATGGCACCCAGTCGGGGAGCAGCCTAGAAAACCAAGTCAGCGCTCACCACCTCAAGCCGAGAGCAAGGATGGCAACATACCAGATCTCCGGCGGAACAGGGTTGACGCAATCCCAATCCATAACCCCCAGCACGCTGAGGAAGAACTTCGCCCAATGAGGTCCATAAAGCGCCCCTCCAAACTTATGGAGCAGCCCACGGGCCTTGATCATGCGGGGATCGTCCTCACTTACCCCAACCAATCGCAGCGCAACGTAGTTCATGCACGTTCCGAAGACCGAGCTGTGAGCCTCGATGTGCAGACCCCAGCCACCATCCTCCGGATGCTGCCGAGCAAAGAGATACCTCTTGATCTCGGTCGCATACTCCGGGGGGATGGGAGTATGCGTGACATAGTAGGTGATGATCAGGCCCGGCAGCAGGAACATGGGCCCGCCATACTCGCAGGCCCAGTTGCCCGGCTCAAGCTGGAGCTTGGAGAAGAATTCCAGACCGTTTTCTGCACATTGGAGTGGAGTCTTGGGCTTTGGGAGCTCGGGAAGACCCTGAATTCCACTTCGTTAGTATAAATAAAAGACACAAACGCGCAACCACGCCGTACTGCGGGAAGGCATACCGTAGGCAGGCCGAGAAAGTACTTATCCGCCACGGTCTGCGGCCACTTCTCGCACTCCTCATCCGACTCGAGATAGTGCCACGTCTGTCGACCCCGATCATCCCGTAGTCGCCAGCGAGAATAGTCTGTTTTGGCATCTCCATGATCATCGGGGGTCAAATGGCCCTGGGCCGGCGTTCTCCATGGGGCGATGTGTGTTCCCGACATGGCTGCTATGGAAGGGGAACAAATGGGATCAACTGAACAAAGCGCAATAGGCCAAAGACACACGCATTGACATCAGACAGACACCTGACCAATCCACCGATTTACCTTGAAACTCGCGTTCAACCTTGTCTGTTTGTTAAGTTAATAACCGCAAGGTGGAATCAGAGAACGAGCCAACTTCCTCCTTGTGTCGATCTGCGGAGCTGTCCGCTTAGTCATCAGGGGCACGGTTGCCTAATCTGATGTATCACATGTTAATTGTGTATGAAAATGAGAGCCAGAGAGAGAGAGAGAGAGAGAGAGAAGTGATGATCATGTATTATCACTGCCCTCAACGTCCTTGTATCATCAAGACATCGAGTCCCTAATTAGAAATTACTATATGGAGGACAAAATCTCCAATCCAAGGCTTGCAAGCACAATGGTTCTGAGGTATCAAGTATGCAAAACAACACGCAATCAATCTACCGATTCCCCCCGGGTATCAATCCTGCCCAATCCTGCCATAACCATAAAGTTCTCTAATACTCCAGCTAACTGCATCCGGGCCTCGAAAGCACCAGACGTTAGTCGCATCGTCACGTTCATTTGGCCACCCCCACAGCGGAGGTCTCCTCAGCCGTCACTGTAGGATCCGCCTTGACAGGCTCCACCGCCTGGGACTCCTGCTTCGGGACTTCGGCCACAGCCTCAGCCGGCACTTCAGCTGGAATCTCAGTTTCCTTTGAGCCCTCCGCGTCCGCCTTGGTTTCGGGAGCGGCAGCCGGAGCAGGAGCGCTCTGCTCCAACTTGACCGTGTAGGCACTTTCCTGCAAGGCGGGACCGTTGCCACCGTAAGTCTTAGGGAACTGGTCCTTCAAAGCAGGGAACTCCCTGGCCAGGTTGGCGCCATTCGAGATAGGGTGGAACTTGCGTGTAGTGTTCTTGCTGAGGAAGACCTTCATCGCGGCGAACATCCAGCCCATGATGGCAGGGACATTGACGAAGAACTTCTCGCGCAGCAGCTCCGGGTAGGCAGTGGCGAAAACTTCGATGGTCTTCTTGGTGGCTGCGCGGATGTTGGGGTTCAAGCGGAGGAAGCTGACATTCAGATAGTCGTGGACCTGAAGCATCTGGTAGGGATCTTCTCCCTCATAGTCGATCACGGCCGTTGCCTCACTCAGCTTCATATCCTTGACTGCCAGCTCCATGAGTGCCACACGCCACTTGATGAACCTGAATTCAAGTTAGCTTCGAGATTGACAGCTTATTTTCCGGGGATGCCTACTCGTCCGAGTCACCAAACGTAGCTTCTACATTCTTCACACTTCCATAAATGTTCCACGTGACAATCACCTCTTGACCATTCGCCTCGGCGTATTTGGTCACGTAACCAAGGCCACCAAACTTCTCAGCATTGTACTGGCCCTCAGTCAGCGCGATGGGGTTCATCTCCTTGCGCCATTGCAAGGCCTTGGTCAGCTGCTCCTCAGCCAGCTTAACGTTGCCTTCGTTGGCGCGCAGGAACTTGATCAGTACGTTGACAGTGGGGATATCGTTCGAATCCTTCAATGCCACTCCCCACATCTCCGCGTGGCCAGTCGCAGAGAAAATGGCGGGTAGACGATCGAAAAACTGAGCGAGAGCGGGGTTTTTTGCCAGGTAATCTGGCTGAGCAGGCTGCTCTTCCTTAACCTCATCCTTGGGCTCATCCTCCTTGACTTCATCCTTCTGGTTTTCTTCCTTCGCCACCTCCTCGTCGATCTTCTTCTCCGGGGCGGGAGCAGTCTCCGCAACGGGAGCTTCGGGGGTAGTGGGGACCGGAGCAGCGGCAGCAGCAGTAGCAGCAACAGCAGTGGTGGTGGGTGCGGCCGTCGGTTCCGCGGCCGTCTTCTCCTCGGTTGTCTTTTCCGGCTGGGGTTCAGCGACAGCGTCCGTAGCAACAGTGGCAACAGGTTGAGGGGCCTCCGGGGCAGTGGTGGTGGCGGGCTGCGACTCAGCAACGGCCAAAGTCGCCGTCTTCTCCTGCTGGTCGGACATAGTGGACAGGGACGATAAGGGAAGGATCTCTGAAAATGGAAGTTTTCAGGTCGGAGCGTGTGGCCTAAGTAAATGACCACAGAGGTAGGTGGGTTTACTCAATAGAAGATGAATCACTCAATAGCGGAATTGGCCAAAGAGACAGAAAGGAAGAGAGGGAGGGAGAAGAAAACACGAAGAGGAGAGGAAAGAGGAGATCACATGCTCACACTAATAAATTACAGGGAGGGACAACAATGGAGCAATCACACAGTGCACACACGCACACACGCACACACACCTTACAATAACAACAAGCTACAATCTGATGACATGACCAGATTCGCTGATTCAACCTGAAACTATCGTTTGGCGACTATTTGACCCTGGAGGTTCCAGACCGTGGGTTCGATGGAGCTGCCATGGCTCCGCTGGACGATGGATAATTGGAGACTGTGTCACTAAACCCCAACGGTCGCTGGCTAAATTGATCCCTAATTAGTTGGCGCCTGCAAGGGTGTTTCAGGGTGATGAATCCGACAGCCTACCTAGGAGAAATTGAGTCGCAATTTGCTATGAAGAAGGGGGAAAAAAAAAAAAGGGTAGACAACACAGCACAACATCAAAGAAAATAAAACAACGATAGACGCAATCATCCACGGACTACTCCAGTCGGAACTTATGGGCAGCGGCAGACAAGTCTCATTCATCTATCTCCCCTTGACAGAGCGCAGACAGGGAATGAGCAGGCCAGGCTGCACCTGTCGTATGGTCTGACCGTCTGTCTGTCTGATACATCGATCGGTGTTGCTGCTATTCTCGGCTCCGGGCTTGCTGCGAGGATGGGGCGCATCGCGTGCCCTAATGTTATTTCTATCTTTATCCTACGCCTTCCCATACGATTGCAATCTCTTCTATTCGCCCTTAGTGCAGGTCTCGTCCACGAGGCAGATGACGAGTCCCCTTGCTGGGTTCCTACCCTGCTTTAGTCATTAGAAAGATAAATCGGCAAGAATAAGAATCGGTCGGATTTATGCATGCAAGCAGCTATGTCCATCTCATCTATCAGACTAGCCGGGTCGACCCATCCCGAGGAGGAGAAAGAGAACAGGGGGCGAGATAAGAAAAAATAAATAAAAAGAAAAGGTTTTACAATTCATAGAACACATACAGGCCCATCTGGACCGAAAACCAACGCTGGGGAATATACAGCTAGGAAATGAACGCAGCGAGTGAGAATGAAGGTGAAATGATCAGCACAGCAGAGGACGGCTCCGATGGCCCGATCTAGCCCGATCTAACCCGATCTATTGCCGTTTAGAAAGCGCCCTGGGATCTGGGGCATCGGAGGGGGCACCGCCGGGGCTGTAGATCCCTCCTCAGTCTCGTCCTCATCCTCGTCCATCTCATCCAGTTCGGGATGCCTGCAGAACAGCCAGTCAGCCACACGAATCGCAATGTGGAGAGGGGAATAAACCTACGCCAGGAGTTCTTTAATGTTACGCATCTCATAATGCTTCTTTCGGTGCTGCTCAAACTGACGATGTTTCTCCGCGGCCTCATGCGACGTAATTAGCCCATCGGGCCCCAATTGAGAATCGCCGTTCGCCTCGCCCGCACCCACCACCACATGCTTGTTGCTCCGGTGCGATTCATTACTCAGACTTCGCTCGCGCACGATCCGATCATTGACTCCGACATGCGCATCCCCCGCGAAGGACTCCTCCGGCTCGCCCAGCTCCAACTCGGGGATTTCATCCTCGGCCACCGCTCGCTTGGGCGCCTTCATCGTCTTGTCTAGTTCATCTACCACGACCCCCTGCGCATCAATCAGGGTATCCTCGGCCTCGAGCTCGTCCTCGTCCTCGGCCGGGTCGTAGTGTGGCGCAAACGGCGTCTTGGGTTCGTCGATCTTCATCTTGGCCGTCTTCTCCTGTTCGGTCAAGTACAAATTGGCCTCGTCCCATTTCAAGCGCGGTGAATTCTCCTCCGGGTGCCCATGAATATGCGCTAGTGATTGCCGCCGAGAGGAAGACCCTGGGCGGGTGTTGGAGCTAGAGCGACGGCGACCGGCATTTTGTAAGGTGTTTTGCAGCGTCAGTTCCTTGGTGTCGACCCCATCAGAGTTGGTCTGCGGAACGGTTAAGGTGTCATGGACGTGTGCGATCTGCGGAATAGAGCCGCTAGAGTTCTTGAGAATACCTGGAGTGTCCGAGAGATTAGAGTCAGATCGTTGCTAGCCATGCTCGGCGGACAAAATCACATACCCTTAGGCCTCCTCTGGGTGTCCTCCATAATGTGGTGCGAGATAGTGGTCATTGTGGATAAGATTTGGGAAAAGACCTTTTGATATTGCTTCAGCGAAACAAGCAGAGTAATGATTCACAGGTGAGGTGAAGAAAAATTGAATACAGGAGCTAAACGCAGAAACTGAGCTATATTGGTGAAGATCAAAGGGAAGAAGGATAGCAGCGAAGACAAATAAATGTGGGAAGATGTGTCCCAAGGTCAAGCTGACAGGGATCAGACGAGTCAGCTGCTGTCTGAGGTCGCGAATGTTAAGGCCAGCAACTGAGGCTGAGCTGACCAAAAATGGCGGGAAGAATCTCCAGCCTTGAAATGCGGGCGGTGGGTGGAGAGGGGGGGG